AACAATAGTGTTGTTTTTTTACTATAAACCTGACAAAACATTTTCTTGTGAGAAGTAATCTCAAAATCCTCCTTACTTGTCTATTTTGTAGTAACGCGTTTTGCATTAATTGTTAGTCTTGACTGACTTTTGACTTGAATGACTTTGAAAAAAAAAAAATTTTTACTCATTAAATACGCGCGCATCGAAAAAATCATCAAAATCGACATTTGATCAATCGGCATATAAGTACATGACACAAACAATGATTTTGTTAATATTGTAATTACTATTATAATACAATAATAAATGCTTAATAATTTTGTAATGTAAAAACCACATATAAATAATTTTGTTAGTTACTTACGCTTTTCAATGGGACATTCGTTCATCTACAAAATAATACACGGAAAACCGATTTCCCTTTCAGATTGCTTTCTATTGACGATTCCAATCCCGCTGAAATACGGCATGGCAATAAACTAAAACGTTTACACCGTGGTGCACCGGCAGCTGATACCGTTGGGCTTGCACCCGGGGTTGCAACGGCGGCAGTAAATATTTGATTTGGTCTCTATCCGTTCATTTTACAGCTCGATGTTTTTCAATAGACACGCTATTCGATTGAAGTGTGTACCTGATATCGACGATAGGTTTGGTTAGATTCGCGTTTAATGCTAGTGGTTACTGCTAATGGTGATCACTGGCAACGTAACATGCTCCCAACAGTACCATGTACAGGCTTTTAAATTTTAGCTTACCATTTTCTATTATATTTTCAGTTTCAGGTTGCATTTTTTATATTGCTTAGATGGGTTGACGAGCTCACAGCTCAAGGTATTAAGTGATTATTGGAGCACATAGACATCTTAACGTAAATGCGCCACCCACTTTGAGATATAAGTTCTAAGATCTCAGTATAGTTACAACGGCTGCCCCATCCTTCAAACCGAATCGCATTATTGCTTCACGGCACAAGAAGTCCTACCACCAGTAAATATCCTCGAGCAATGAAGATTGTTGAATTAATAGAGTCGCAAACGGCCTGTCTTATGATTAGTGGTTACCGTTGCTTGTGAATATCAGTGATATAACATGCACAGCCAAAGTATCTGAACAGGATTGTATTCAAATGTCGCTTGAAAATGGAGACGTGGTGTTTGAGGAAAAATCCCTCCTTACTGTTTTGCGTTGGGCCGAAGTGGTATTATTTGTTCGTGTGTATACAGAGGCGTTCGTGTGTATAATATTGTAGGCTCAATCGGCGTATTGGGGTTACATTTATTCTCCAAACCGAAACCCGTTATTTCTACGCTGGGGACAAATCGTTAATTTTGAACAATGGGGTTTCTAAGACTTATTCCTAGGGCACAAGAAAAGAACTAGGTAGACTAGAGGAAGTTTATTAATACCATAGTAGTATCTGCTCTGTGATATCTAAGAACCTTTGACATCGGGTGGGTCATTAACATCACCTTCAATTAGTTACGTTAATCAACAACATGTTGACCATGAGCGAAAGTATCACTGACTTTCAGATTGGCCATACCGTTTGCATTACGAAGATAAAAAGTCTTTGAAATTTTGGACCAGTAGATATTGTACCATATTCTCTGTTCTCCGATTCATCTCAAAGTTTAGTTTTACGGGGAAACTTCACACGCAAACATGTTCCGTAACGGTTGACGGCTTGTGTTCAATTGATACTAATGGCCGTAATTGACGTGTTAACTTCAGCAGTTTACCAAGCTATAAAATTCAGTAACGCCATGTACACAGTTTCGGTAATACGTTTTATTAATAAACTTACAGTATTATGGAAATTCGTATGGATTATAAAATTTATTTATAGTTGCGTTGGGTTCGAGATAAAATATTATATCACACGTGTTTGTTTACCTGCATTATGGAAGTTGTTCGAAAACATGTATTGGGTTATTATCTAGAAGTAGCTAGGTGATTATTTTTTTTATGAATAATTTCAAACTGTTACAAAGTCGAATCATTTAGGATCTAACTTCTTTATTCAGCTAGGCGAATTTGTGTAATAAGTACCCAATTTTATCATCTTGGTCCATGTTTTTTTTTCAACCGGTTATGAATGAATTTTGGTACAAATCGTTCTTAGCTTTTTTTTGTATTTTGCATTAGGTTTTTTTGTTTTTATTATTGGTGTTTAGTAGGCAGCGCTAGGGCTGTAGCCTTGGCATTGATGACGAGTACGTGTGACGGTAACCACTCACCATCAGCTAGACGATATACATGTCTACTTGCAAAGGCAAACAAAAAAATCTCTACATAATATCAAAACAAAGTCGCTTTCTCTGTCCCCATATCTGTCCCTATGTATGCTTACATCTTTAAAACTACGCAGCGGATTTTGATGCGGTTTTTTTAATAGATAGAGTGATTGAAGAGGAAGGTTTATATGTATAATAACATCCATTAAATAGTGGAGAAATCAATAATAAATTACAGCTTCCGAAGCGAAGCGAGGGCGGGTCGCTAGTGTATAATAAAGCATACTATACACTATTGTGTTTTTAAGGTTTGTAGTAAAATAATTAAAATTTTATCATGTTAAAATTAAAACTTTTTTCGGAATGCCAAATAGCAATACTGTTGTTAGGAGCAATGGCAGTAGTGGGAACGTGACATAATAAAAAATAACGGTGTATTCCGTAGCGAGCAAATATCTAAAGATCGTACAAGTGGAGTTAAAAATAAATTAATACAGAATAAAGTGGACTATTGCAATCTGTGTATTTAATTCCTGGCTTTGGAAGCTAAGTCTACAAGTTTAACAAATGACTTAATGTTACTTGATTAATGTGGTATAGTAGACATAATTATGTAAATTTCATAATGTAACATGTACATAGTTTGGTGTAAATTAACTAATGAAGTCACGTCGTTGCGCGAGACATTCCAGCGCTGAATATCACATTTTTTTTTTATTGCCTAGCTGGTTGGACGAGCTCACAGCCCACCTGGTCTACGACGTAAATGCGCTACCCATCTTGAAATTTAAGTTCTAAGGTCTCAAGTATAGTTACAACGGCTGCCCCACCCTTCAAACCGAAACGCATTACTGCTTCACGGCAGAAATAAGCAGGGTGGTGGTACTTACCCGTGCGGACTCACAAGAGGTCCTACCACAAGCACTCTTGCATCTTAACAATCGTGTCTTTTATAACATTATTTACCATGATTGGTTGATACTGTGTTTGATTGTAGTTGAGTGTATTTATTCTATTTGACTGATGTTAGAGCGTTCTTAGCAGCGGGGTGCGATATCCATGCGTTACTGTTTATCTTTAAGTGACATGATCACTTTTACTATCGAAATATAACTTCGATATGATATAAAACGTGGTGTTGGTATTCATTGTTACAATAAGCATTGAACTTTAGGTGAGCTGCGAAATCTTCTGCATGTCTATACTAATTAAGAGAAGGCCTTTAATTTTGTAGGAATAAGAACAGATTAGTTCTTGGTGGAAATGGGCAGGATAGCGGTATGAGTTTGTGCTCATTCACAATACAGCGTACCACAATTAATAACCTAATCCGGTCACGAAGCCCTGCTCTTGCTAGGGCCAGTGTTAGCAACTATTCTGGTTTGAGCCCCGTGAGCTCACCTACATTTTAGGGTGAAGCTGAAATAACCTCTCAAGGCTATCAGTATAGATAAGAAAAATAAAAAGAACCTAAATTTTAAATTTTCGGCATTAATCTTTTATTACACAACGTTATTCCACACCGAGAAACTAATGACTTAGGTTATTGGAACGAAGTTCCTTATCGCGCGTTGTGAAAGGGGGCTAGACGGAAAAAATTCTTACGAAAAGTTGTCACGACACTTTTTAGATCCGTCATTCTGACCAATCAACGTGTAGGCGCTTATCGCGTGACATTGCTCGTATCCGATTGGTCCGCGTAATGAGTACAGTTTCTCGAGATAGCGTTTCAACAATAGTAATTTAGTTCATAGTATTGTTTTTTTCTTCTTCATAATGCCGTAATTTATTATTATAACTTAAAAAAAATTATACAATTCCTTCACTAATTAATCGAAAGGAACTTCGTTCCATCCGGGTGTCCCTTGACACCTCTGAAGTTTTTTTGTTTTACAAAATACTAAAACAATCCAGACACGTATAAAGCTTCCTTGACGTACAAATAAATATATTATGTAAGTTTCACGAACAAGTAAAAATATAAGCGACTGGCGTAGTTTCGTAGGGCGTACAAAAAAATGGCAAGCATATTTCCTCGTTGCAAGCTCGGGTACAGTCGCCGACAAACTCGTTACGCTGAATAATTACTATAATGCGCCACATTATTAACCCCTTTCCACACGGCGCGAGAGCCGCAAAGCATTATTTCTTGTCATAATAAAAATCTACGGTCGCTTGTCAGGTAACCTGTATTGCCACTTAAAATGAGTGTGTAACCTCAAGATTTTTGCCGTGAAATTTGCCGAGATTGACTTCATTCATTGCCGCTATCTTTCATTTCAGCATAGTGTTGTGCTGTTCGCTTTTGTGTATATGCAAATATGAGCATTTATCTTAAAAAAAACCGAAAAGGTTCTCAATATCGGTATTTATCGTTATTCCATTTACATTTAATCATGATTCGATCAGTATTTACAGTATTATCCTTATGAATATTTAATTAACTTCGACTCTAATGACGATATGACTTAATATATTTTGTGCAAAATCGTCTTCTTTTTTATCAAGTCTTGTATTATTGTGTAACTGATTAATAGATTTTAGCTTCATAATTATGAATATCTTTAAACTAATTGCTTAGTCATTTTTTTCGACAGTTATGCTTTCTAATTCATTAGCCCTATTAAACAAACTTATTTTTTTTTTAATTACACATCTATTACCTAATAAAATTCACAGCGTTAGATTTATTGTTTTTTTTTATGTTAGATATTAAAGAAAAAGCGTTATTTAACTTTGAGCGCCATTGGGGCGACTTTACCTTGTTTATCATAAGCTTACCTGCAGCCATTTAACTCTTGTGATGCTATCCTCGGTCACGGTTAGAGCCCGCCTCTCGCCCAGCTTATACGATTCATCATAATACATGTATTCAGTGAAGGTTAATCCACTAGTCGTGTATTGTTGAGTGAAATATATCGAAATAGTTCCGTTCGCGATGTCGTGCTCGATAATCCAACGACATTTTATCGGCACGGGAAACGGGTTGGGGAAATTGGGTGTCTGTATCACGCCCGTGGGTCCTCGGAGCCGGCCCCCGCAAATCTGTGGTCCCTGATGTTCCCTGGGCGAGTCTTGAGCGTAGATGTCGGCGGCGATGGCTATCAGCGTCACGAGGAGGCGCCGCATTGTCAACCTGCAAAAAATAAGGAGTTATAATTTTTTTTTGGTGAATCGTTGAGAAATAAACTAGTTGTATACTGTAAGTAATTATAAATTAGTAATGATGGGTATACAATTTGCGTCAGAATTGCCACTACTGTCATATTTTTTTGTACCGAAAATCATTGTTTTTGTTTAAGTTTCAAAGACACAAAATCCATAATTTTAACATTTAACTTCAAGCGTCTATGGTAATATCGATCACATTGTATCGATGAGCCACGGTTACAAGTGAATACAGGCTTAGTGTAGCTTGATTATTAGAATGACATTTGAAAATGTAATTAACTTTTTTTATTATTGTGACTATTTAAATATGACGCTCAAAAATGCATGTATTATTCTTTATAAAAAAATAAATACTTAAAACCGTTCGTTTAAAAAAGTAATAGTCCTACAATATCGGGTAGCCATTTTTTATCGTGCGTTAAATTGAATAGCGAGAGGGCTCAATGAAAACGTATCTATTTCATGAGTCCAAAGTTATTTGAACAGTTCGGAGGAAAAATGAAGTCATTTATTGGATGTCCCGGCCATTACTGGTGTCCACCGGGCGACTAATGCTAGCTCGTTTGTCATTGATAAACTGGATAAAAGTACGTAAAGTGTTTTGTTTGTGAGCATACTGTTTTCGCTCTTGAATGAGGAGATTTTTTTTATTGTTTTTTGTTTTACGATTCGATTTGATAAAGCCGTTTCTAATGTAATATTTTAATGGGGCCGTTTCACGTTATCTGTACGGTTATTGGTACGAAAAATATTTACACGGCGCGTAATTTTAAGACGGTTAAAATGATGACTGGTGGTAGGATCTCTTGTGAGTCCGCACGGGTACCTTAGAACTTATATCTCAAGGTGGGTGGCGCATTTACGTTGTAGATGTCTATGGGCTCCAGTAACCACTTAACATCGGGTGGGCTGTGAGCTCGTCCACCCATCCAAGCAATAAAAAAAACCTGCCTATTTCTGCCGTGAAGCAGTAATGCGTTTCGGCTTGAAGGGTGGGGCAGCCGTTGTAACTATACTGAGACCTTCCAACTTATATCTTAAGATAGGTGGTGCATTTACGTTGTAGATGTATATGGGCTCCAGTAACCACTTAACGCCAGGTGGGCTGCGAGCTCGTCCACCTATCTAAGAAATAACTAAAAAATTAATACAACTAACACATAGATCTCATTTCATAAGATAGGTAGGCATACGGTAGGCAGCGGCTTGGCTCTGCCCCTGGCATTGCTGAAGTCCATGGGCGACGGTAACCACTCACCATCAGGTGGGCCGTATGCTCGTCTGCCTACAAGGGCAATAAAAAAAAAAAAAAAAAAAAAAGTGACGTTATTTGCGTTGTAAATTTTATATATATGTTGGTACACGTCAGGGATGGCTGAGCGGTAGGTTCCGTCATCACTCGTATTCGATTGAACTCAGTTTAGTCAATAAAACTTTTCAATATTAATTATTGAAACTCAACACACACAACTTTCACAATGACAGGATAAACCGACAGTTTCGTTGCACATACCGACAGACCGACTGACTGACTGACTGACAGAGACTCACTGACTGAGTCGGACGGAATGACTGTCTGACACGAAATGCCACGACTCTGTCCACGTACCGCCATTTTATACTGTGGCGTTACGGAGTCTACCCTTCATTTTGTGATATTTATCAAAACATTTCATCAATTAAAATAATAATCAAAACCACCGTCTTAATATTACTAAAAGTCGTTATCCACGACATATATGTACATATTTTTCAGTATAGTGTTTATTTTTGCTTAGAGGGGTGACCGAACTATCGGCCCACCTGCCGTTAAGTAATCATCGGATGTACACGATTTGTGTCATTAGTTGTCTATGGGATAACAATATAAATTGACTTGAATTAACTCACTAATTTGAATTTCTATGAGCACCGTTAATGACTTAATACCAAGTGAGCGGTGAACTCGTTTACCAGTCTATGCAATTAAAAGACAAATTAAAAACTCCAAACTGCTAGTACTTTTGTACAACAAACTCAATCAACTTTAATGATTGTATTACTATACAAATGGAGATCGTTTGTTATTTATAGTACAATACAAAGAGTCCATTTTTATTGTTCAGTCTTTGCACTATATAGCTCAACTCATGGGATTTTTCATTTCACATTATTAAACACTAGCGACCCGCCCTCGCTTCGCTTCGGAAACATTAAAACACAAATGAAACAAAAAAAAAATTTTTTTTTTTAAAAAGTACCCTATGTTCATCAGGGACAATGTCGGCTTCGAATGGAAAAAGAATTTTTCAAATCGGTCCAGTAGTTTCGGAGCCTATTCGAAACAAACAAACAAACAAATCTTTCCTCTTTATAATATTAGTATAGATATAGACTAGATGATGACCGAGCTTTGTTCGTATTTTTTTTTGATAACGCCATCTTGTTGTGTCTTTAAAGCGGTTTGTTGCCCTCAATTAAGAAAAATAGTATTATTATTCGCCAATAGATGTCGGGAAGAGTTGATTATTGAAAACACGAATAAAACAACATTTTCTGAAAATAAATCGTAGCTAGATCGATTAATCGCCCCCGAAATCCCCTGTATACCAAATTTTATGAAAATTGTTGGAGCCGTTTCCGAGATTCAGATTATATATAATAATATATTATTAAACAAGAATTGGTCGTTTAAAGGTATAATATTGAACAAGTCCTGCCATGTATTTACTGATATTTACTTGTCCTGACTGTTTGATTGATAGTTTTGTGTTGTTCATCATTCACTAAGCAAGGATTTCGTGAAATTTCACCTCTAACGGCTTCAAGTAAGAGGTAATAGGTTGTATCAAGCTCCGTCATTTTCCAAACTATAAAGCACATCTTATCGTCCTTAATTACACAAATGTATAACTTAGCGCTCAAACTAATTACTATCTCGATTTGTTAAATCAAAGGCCTTCTATTACCATTGAGGTCATGTCAACTATTAGCGCCGGCTTGGTTGTACTAGAACTATCTATACTTAATATTATAAAGAGGAAAGATTTGTTTGTTCGTTTGTATTGAATAGGCTCCGAAACTAGTGACCCGATTTGAAAAATTCTTTCACTATTTGGAAGCTACACTATTCCCGAGTGACATAGGCTATAATTTTTTTTTTAATTACCTTACTGAAACTCCAATAATGTAACCCAAGGTGTAAAAATATTATCTAAAATATTCTTTACATGGCGTGCCCTGCGAAAACTATTGATGATAGAATAAAATAATGTACTAAGACTTTGTAGAACACATTATTATTTACAAAAAGTGTCGCAACAGCATGTGTGTAACTATTATAGTTAAGCCGCAATAAGTGTTCTTTTATTAAAAAAAATTAAACAACCTCAAATATCGTTGAAATTTTTATTAAAGACCCAAGCAGAGCCGGAGCGGGCCGCTTGTAGCTAAATAAAATAACAGTATGGAGACATGTGATGACGTACCCACTTAAATAATAGTAGGAAAACATAATTGAATTACATTTTAATTGAACTATCCATATTAATATTAGAAATAAACTGATCGTCAAAATATTTTGCATACACGACATCAGTTGTACAAAACTTTTTATTAGGTATCTTCAATCTCTAAAAAGCCCTATCTCCGAGAGTTTAAATGTTGTTGAACTTCTAAATGCAAGTTATCTTAAATATTATCATTGTCTGGCTTTAAATTTTTCAGATCTTGTCCATTCTATGTTATTAAATGCTATAATATTTATATTGTGTTATCGTTTCATTATTTCTTTGTGGTCCTCATAAAATTGGAATTCTTCATATTCGTTTTCAAGGCTCCGGTTACAATTACAAACGTTTTAATAATTTCCGAGATGAATTTTCGGGAGATATTTATTTTTGCGTTATGAAATTCAGGATACGCATTGTTATTTATTAATTAGAGCGCTCAATGTTTCGGTATTATACACTTTTTTAATGTTAAAATGTTTTTATTGTTTTATGAAATCGAGATGGAAGGAATTACTCTAAAAACAAACAAGGTAGTTATAATATAGTATAGTGCTAGTTATTCGTGGTACAATAGCTTTGTGAAAAATCTTAGGATCACTCTTCATACGGGTTTATATTTTGAATATTGAAACGATTAGACATATTTATCACAATGTATAATTTTTGCATGCAAACTTTATTGGCTTTCCCGTAACAAAAGCGACACTTATCGCGTCTTAAATATTAAATCTTTAAACTTTTATTAATACACAAAATATTATTTTAATAACCTAAAAAAGTACATAATATTAATGTTATTATCCGCAACACGCTCCGTCAGATTTCAGAAATAGAGGTATCAGCAACATGCTTCGTCAAAAAGTACAATACTTACTTCCAGCTACAAACGTCGTCAATGTATAATAGTATCTCAAGGTGATTGGCGGCATAAACGTTGTGATGTCCATGGACATGTAAGCATGTTCTAACAAAAAATTTTTTTTAATGGATCTTCGGGTAATCCTTTTTGTTCATTTTGTAAGTTCAAAGACTTTTCGAAAGATAGCTAAGAGAGACTAGACGTAAATCGGATTTAGATGATAAATACGCTTGTGTTATATTAGTTCGCCAATAAATTCTCTTCAATTACTAAACTTACGACAGCGGTGGCCTGATGAGAAAATTGAGTGCCTCATTTGGAGGTCGAATTTGTTATTTCAAGTATACGAGATCATAAAAATAATCAATTTTATGTACCGTTAATAAATCAAATGTTTTAAGCTATTATTGCGTACAAACTTTTTTTTTTTTTTCGAATACTTATTCGCAACCTATCTTAATTTGATAGTATTATGATAGAAACCTTCGGTATAGTAGTAAGAACAACTGTACCGTACCAAGTTTCATCACAATTGTATGATTGACATTTTTTCTTGTACTGTTGACAAAAAACCAATTTCGATTTTTATATATTACTAGAGGATGAATTGTGTTT